GCTGATTTGATCCTCCATTTCATCTAATATATTTTGATTCCCTCTAATGTAATCTTCATTTTAGTTATTATATTCTTCATTTTTCACTGGTTCTTTTTTATGTTTTTTTATCTCCACTTTTATGTTTCCTATCTCTTTGTTGAAGCTCTCACTAAGATCGTTGAGCATCCTTATAACCAGTGTTTTGAACTCTGCACCTGGTATGTTGCTTGTCTCCATTTTCTTTAGTCCCTTTTCTGGAGCTTTTTTCCTCATCTTTCTTTGAGACATGTTTGGTCTCCCCATTTTGTCTGCCTCCCTGTGTTTGTTTCTATGTATTAGGTAGGGCTGCTTTGCCTCCCAGCCTTGGTAGAGTGGCCTTATTTAGTAGGTGTCCTGTGGGGCCCATGGCACAGTCTCCCTGGTCACCTGAGTCAGGTGCTCAGGTGTGTCCCTTGTGTGGGTTGTGTGTACCCTCCTGTTGTAGTTGAGCTTTGATTGCTGTTTGCACATGAATGGGAAGGTTTAACCCTTAGGCTGATTGGTTATGAGGACTTGCTGTGAGTACAGTGGAGGGATTATTGTGCAGAGGCTGACTCTACAGAACAGGCTTTGCTTTAGTGGGGCTCTGATGCTTGCTGAGTCTTCCCTTTGGGTGTGTTGTTCATGGAGGTGGTTTGGTGGTACTCTGGTGTGACCTGAAGCTGGCCACTGGGTGTGTTGGTTCTGGGGCCCCTTGGAAGGGGCTCTGGTGCAGGTCAAGTTCAGCCACTGCTTGTGCCCTACCTGGGGCCACTTGGTATGAGCTATGTAGGTGTTTGCCACTGGTGCTGGGCTTGTAGATGTCTGGGAGAGGCTAAGCGCTGAACTCGGGCAGACTGCCACCAGTGCCAGGCTTGGGGCTGCTTAGTAAGAGGTACAGGGCATGCAAAGGCCAAATGCTGCTTATTCAGGGTTTGTGAACCTTTGAGAGATTTTAGGAAAGCCCACAGCATGGGCCAAGACAGGCTGCTTGTAGAAAAAGCCACTGGAATCAGCTTGGGTTGGTGCCCCACGTTGGGTGAAATGGGGTCTCAGGGAATCATCAAGGGGAGTGAATGGTTTTAACCAGGTTGATGGACATTCAAATATGGTTCCCACATGCGTGTGCAGGCTGGGTGAGGGGCGGGCTCAGCAAAGGAGCAGTGGCTCCTGCCAGCACTTCTGATTGGGGGAAAGCTGCCCCTCCAGCCATTGCCCGGAAGCCAGACAATTCAGTTCCTCCCTGTACATCCCTGGTGCCATTAGAGCTCCTGCCCTAGCGCTGGAGCTCAGAGAAAATGAGTCTATCAGAAAGGAAGTCTGTGCATTGGCCTTTTAAGAGGAATTCCTGGGACTGCAGCTGCCCTCCATCTCACCCAGCCACAATTTCCACTGCTTTTCACTGTCAGAAGTTGTGGGGACTTCCCTTCCCGGCACTGGGATGCTGGGCTAAGGAGCCTGGTGTGGGACTGGAATCCCTCAGGGGGGGACCTCCGCAGCTGAGCTATCCCTCCTGAGTTTTAAAATGTGTGGATGTTGGATCAGCCTGTTCTGTGTCTCCACCCCTCCTACCATCCTGACGTGGCTTCTTCTGTATATCCTCAGGGATAAGACTTCTGTTCCGCGAGCCTTCGGGCAATTCTCCATGATGATTTTTCTGTCATTTAGTTGTAATTTTTGAGGTGGCTATGGGCGAGCCAAGCATAGCATTTACTTACTCAGTCATCTTTACTGCGTCTCCCTAATGGACTATGTTTGATATTTTAATTTTCTTGGTACTTCAGAACACTTTTTGTTTCAAATGTTGTGATTAGAGATTGTTCCAAAATGTATGAGTCACTCTTCTATCTTACCAAATTATGTAGCAAATTATGTAGCAAATTATGTAGCAACCAGAATGGAATTTTCCTTTACTGATGGCGAATGTCTAAGACTTCAGGACATGTTTCTGAAGGTCAAGGCCTGGAGATAGAGGCTGAGCTTGTGTTGGAAATTAGGCTTAATCTGTACTGACCCAGTAGTGCCCTAGAAGTGTCCTTCCGTCCCTGTCCTGTAAGTGGGTTCCCGAGAGTCGTTTGTACTATATTATTTGAATAATTTACTTAGTATTCCTTTTTTAAATTGGTATACCCTCCTTTCATAAAAATTTAATTAAAAATAAAATTTATATCACTATCATAGAATGAAAACTGATATCATTTGAGGTAAGTAGCAACCTATAAGGTTATCCCAAATAAAATTTAATGATATTAATCATTAAATGAATGTTCTGAGCCTGGGTCCTGACCTGTTTTTACTTAAAAGGGGGTTTATCAATTGTTAGAGAGGGGTGAGAGAGCCTATTAGTACTAAACTGCATCTTCTTGAGTAGTGAGATGGGTTGAAAATGATTAACTTCCTCGCTAAGAGATTCAATATTATTTAAAATTGCATTCCAGTGCCATTTAAAAATCACATCCTCCAGACCACACAAAGTGACTTATCTACCACTTAATATTTCTGTGTCACCAGTGGTATCTGCTGCATTCCACATTTTTCAGAGACAATGAACTACATCAGAGGCTGTGCATTAAAAANCTAGTACCACCAAGAGTAGACGGTTAACTCTTACTGGTGTGGACTTCAGTCTCAGTAAACTCATGTGACTATCATTCCTGATGGCTCATCTCCCATCTTGGTCTCTATTAATTTAATGAGTGGTGTTTTGGGTTTCACATTTTCTTCTTTGTTTCTTCAATTTATGTAGAAGCTAGTTGTGGTTGGGTGTCTCTATGTTTGAGAAATTCCCTCAGAGATGGAAATAGGTGTGTCCTCCTGAGTCACAGCAGAAAAATGACAGAAATTCACAAATGATATTTTTAAAGTCTAGTAGCATCTCGGTCCATTCCCAAGAACTCTATAAACATCTCTAGCATTTTTTTTTTGAGAAATGTCATACAGTAAATTAGGGAGTCCCTACTATGAGCTAAGCTCTGTTTCAGGTCTTGATATGAATACTAAAGACCTGTGAAACCATACAATATTGTACTTAGGATAAAACTCACTTTCAAAAAAGGGCACAAAAGGCCATAAAACGGATGGAAACATTTATGGGTTGGGTGCTATGTATTCAGGAGTGAGAGAGAAAATGAAGAGTGGGGTGGATGGGGAAGACTGTTTGGAGAATATGGCAATGCACTTGAACTGAGCCTTTAAGGGATGAACAGAACTAGATTGATGAAGGCGGTTCCATGTTAGCCATGGTTCTCTTGGTTGTAAGTGATGGAATCAAATTCCAACTAGCTTAAGTGAAAAAGGGAATGCCTTAATTCTGGTCTGACAAGCCCAGAGGTAGCACTGTGCTTAGATCTAAAGTGTCCAGTGGTGCTCTTTGAGTTTGGTCTCATTTTCTCCATCTCTTGATTTTTGTATGTTTTACCTTGTGTTGACTTCATTCCCAGCCAGGCTGTCTCTTTGGTAACAAGATGTCTGCCAGAGTGTTCAGGTTTAAGTCGCATCAGCAACCCCACCAAAAAGCAAATTCTCTCTTCCAAACAGTTCTAAAAATTCTGGAATTCAACACATAACTGGGTCATGTGCCCACCCCTGAAGTAGCCATTGAGGCTGCCTGGTCTTTCCTTATTCTCTGTTGAGCAGAGATTAGTCATGTGGTTTGAAAGTAGAGCGATGTTTCTCCATGGAAATTTGGAGTGCCATCAGTAAGACAGGTGGGTGGAGTAGATGTTAGACAAATGTAAAACATGCTGTAGGAGGTAAATCAACAAATTTAATGTTTAAGTAAGAGGTGTTCTAGAAATATAAGAAAGTATAGGGCATTAGTTATGGAGTAGGAGTTAAAGTAAAACATGATTAGAAGGACATCATTGGGGAAAAATATTTTCACGGAAGAACGGAGAATAAAGACTGGTTAGAATGTAAAATTATCTTGGAAATGGTGAGTAAATAAAACTAGAGAAACAGTGAAACAAAACAGAGAGGAACTTGAAGTTATCTAAAGACTAAATTAGATTTTATGCACTATGTGAAAGCAATTAGCCACTGAGCAATGTAAAATATCTTCTTTAAACATTGCACCACTATTTGCTATGTCAATATACTAAAAACACCTCCCTATCTGTTTTCCTTTTTTTGGAAGGAAAGGCAGTTGACTCACCAACATGCATTCCTCCTGAGGAGCTTGGTGTGAACTCACCAGGTAAGCCCTTTTCCTTGACCAGTGACTAGATCAGAAGTGGGCATGAGATCCCACTCCATCTCATGAGAGCAAGAAGTCTGTTGGAGAAATTTCAGCAGAAAGTTTTATCTTTCCAAAGAAAGGTCTAAAGGAAAGGGCTAGTTTCTTCTTTTTTGGGAAGCAGGCCTGGATACCTAGAACTGTTGAACACTTTTACTACCAGTCTGAGATGGAGCCCACACCAGGAAGATGTAAGAATCTAGATCCTTGATGTCATTGTCAAGCTGGTCAAAATCTTGCTGTCTACTCTACTTTGGGCTTCCTGTTGTGTGGCAATGTGAGTTAGGTTTTCTGTTATTTGCAGCCGAAAGCAACCTAAATGATACACTTTTTGTACTGAAAACCTAGACATGGAAACCTTTCTTACAAAGTCATTTATTTATTCTTTTATTATGTACACAATAAAACCCTCACTAAAGTATAAAAGAAAAAGTTACACTATCATGCACAGAATTGTATATATATTGTCATGGAGAAAAAAAAAAGGCAAAAAGAAATTGACCAAAATCTTAATAGCCCCTTTTAGGGACATAAGTATGGATGATGCGATATTTTCTTCTTTCTGTTTTTTTTTCCAAATGTTATATTGGAAAACGTCTTGCTTTTATATAAATTAGAAAATGTTTTTTTTAAAGATCAACCCAAATTCAATTAATCCAAATTTTTAGTAATGAACTATTTTTTTCATTTTCTTTATTTTATTTTATTTTGTAGTAATATTTTTACTTTTTAATTACAGTTCACATACAATGTTATATTAATTTCAGGTGTACAACATAGTGATTAGACATTTATATAACTTGTGAAGTGGTCACCATGATAAATCTGGTACCCATTTGATACCATACACAGTAATTGTAATATTGTTGACTATATTCTCTATGCTAAACTATGACTATTGACTATGCAAACATTTCCCTAAGACTGTTTTGTAACTACTAATTTGTACCTTTTAATCCTTTCCCCACTTCACCCATACCTCCAACCCCCTCCTCCCATATTGCAACCATCAAAATGTTCTCTGCATCTATGAGTTTGTTCCTGTTTTGTTTATTCACTTACTTTGTTTTTTAGATTCCACATATAAGTGAAATAATATGGTATTTGTCTTTCTTTGTCTGATTTATTTCACTAAGCATAATACTCTCTGCTTCCACCCATATTGTTGCAGATGGCAAGATTTCATTCTTTTTCATGGCTGAGTAATGTTCCATGATATATATGTACCACTTTTTCTTTATCCATTCATCTATTAGGTTGCTTCCATATCTTGGCTATTGCAAATATTGTTGCAGTAAACCTGTAAATATATATGTCTTTTTGAATTAGTGTTTTGGGTTTCTTTGGATGAATGCCCAGAAATGGAATTACTGGGTCCCTCTTTGTCTCTTTTTATAGGCTTTGTTTTAAAGTTCTATTTTGTCTGGCATAAGTATTAGTACCCCAGCATTTTTTCTTCATTTCCATTTGCATGAAATATCTTTTTCCATCCTTTTACTTTCAGTCTGTGTGTGTGTCTTTTGATCTGAAGTAAGCCCCTTGAAGGCAGCATACATAAGACTCTTGTTTTCTTATCCATTCAGCCACCCCATGTTTTTGATTGGAACATTCAATCCATTTACATTGAAAGTAATTGCTGATAGAAATGTATTAGTGCCATTTTATTATTCACAATTTTTGTTTTTCGTTTTTTGTTTTTTGTTTTTCTTCTTCTACTAACAAAGTCCCTCTAACATTTCTTGTAATACTGGTTTGGTGGTGATGAACTCCTTTAGCTTTTTCTTCTCTGGGAAGTTCTTTATCTGTCCTTGGATTCTAAATGATAACTTTGCTGAGTAGAGTAATCTTGGTTATAGGTCGAATCTTTTAATCACTTTGAATATTTCCTGCCAATCCCTTCTGGCCTGCAAAGTTTCTTTGTGAAATCAACTGACAGTCTTATGGGAAGTCCCTTGTAGGTAACTAACTGTTTTTCTCTTGCTGCTTTTAAGATCCTCCCTTTGTCTTTAACCTTTGGCATTTTAATTATGATGTATCTTGGTGTTGGCCTCTTTGGGTTCATCTTGTTTGGGACTCTGC